ACTCCAGTCTGGGTGACAGAGTGAGACTCCAACTCAAAAAAAAAAAACAAGAAAAACAGATGAATATGTCAGAAGTGTTGGCTTTTTTCCACTTGACAGTCCATCTTCTTTAGACCACAAATAGCACTAACTTCCTTCAAATCTGCAAAATGCAAGGTGTATTCACAAGTACAACACTGTCACTCCAAATGACAAATGGCAAAAAATAAACTCCCAACACTGCAATGTTGGCATGCTAAAGACAAATGCTATGAACTTACGCATCAACCAAATATTTCTCTTTCATTGTCCTCAATCCCACTTATTTCCCCTGAGGTGGCTTGCAATAAGGGTAGAGGTTTGCCTGCCTTCACAGTTGTGAGACTTCCTGCACACGGCCATGTAAGAGAACCTGATAAATGGGAGGCTTGCAAGAAAGCAAAGGTTAAGAAGAGAGAAAAGCTGGTTTCAAGGGTATATCTGGATTGGGCATAGTGGTTCACGCCAATAATTACACCTATAATTTGGGTTGCCAAGGTGGGAGGATTCATTGAGCCTCCTCTAATATGGGAGCACCTCTTCATCTGGCCTATCTCTGTTTACATCTCCTGTCATGCTTGTAGATGCAAGAAACTAAATGACCACAGTTAACATCCCAAGGTAAAAATAATAGGACACGTCTAAGAAGAGCAGTTTAGGGTGACTGGCTACCCAAGAACATGTAGCACACACTTCTGTCACCCATCTGGGCCGGTTCACAAGGGCTACTTCGTCTACAGCTGTCCCAGCAAGTGCATTCTGACATCTGGTCATGATGCTCTGAAGGGCACCAACCTTTTCTCACCACTCCCTCTACTCCACTCTGAGTAACCATCATCTCATTCCTGGATCACTACCATAGCCTCCTACCTGGCCTTCTTGCTTCCCTCTGTACCTCCTACAGTCTGCTTTCAATTCAGCAGTCAGAGAGAGTCCCCCTCCCTTTTAATTCAACTAATACTTATTGCATGCCTACGATGCTAGTTTCTGAGAAATGCGAATATACATGACATGAACCTCACAATCCTGTAAAAGTCTCTGTAGCAAAGAGATACCAATTAATGTTTATATAAAGTGCCAAATAAATTGAAATACTCAAAGTGATCCTTTTTGTTGTTGTTGTTGTTGAGTTGGAGTCTCACTCCGTCACCCAGGCTGGAGTGTAGTGGCATGCTCATGGCCACCTCAGCAGCGACCTGCTGGGCTCTGGCAATCCTTCTGCCTCAGCCTTCCAAGTAGCCAGAACTACAGGCTGCACTACTGCCCCTTGCTAATTTTTTTAATTTACTTATTGTAGAGACAAAGTCTCACCAAGTAGCCCGGGGCTGGTCTCAAACCCGCAGGCTCAGGTACTCCACTTGCCTCGGTCTCCCAAAGTGCTGGGATTACAGGCTAAGCCACCAAGCCCGGCCCTAACTGATCCTTTTAAAACTATCACTCCTCTGTCCAGAACCCTGCAAGGCTCCCCCTTTTCACTCAGAATAAAAGTTGAAGTCCTCAGGCAGAGCCTCAAGGTCCTATGTTAGTATTTCTCAAATTATCTGTGAAGAATGAGATTCTTGTGTTTATTTTGTAAAATACAGTTAAAATGCCACTGGATAGTGCAGCAATGTCAACTACTATCAAAGTTTCTAAACCCTCACTCATCTGATCTTTCTGAGCTCATTTTGTTATCACTCTCATCCACTCCCTCCATAGTCACTGGCCTCCATGCCCATCCTGTTCCAGCCTCACAACCTTTGCACTGGCTATTGCCTCCTTGTCTCTTACACTCTTCCCTTACGTAGGAATGGAGACATGGCTCACGAAAGAAAGTCTTTTCAAATGTCATTTTCTCAATGAGGACCCTGGTAACCCAAACTAAAGCTGCAAGCCACCCTCTGCCCTGGCACTCCCCATTGCTCTGCTCTGCTTCTTCTCTCCCACCACACTTATCACCTTCTAACATATTCTATCACTTATTAATTTATTATGCTACTGCCTATCTCTTCCCACAGCACATGAATCCTTGTCTGTTTGTTCACTGCTGTATCCCTAAGGACTTAAAACTGTGTTTGAGACAAACTAGGCACTAAATAAATGTGTTGAAAAAAGACATTCCCACATTTTCTGACACAATTCTTATCTCTAATTTTAAAGGGCCCCGAGTTGTTGATAGAGAACCAAAAGTTGTGAGGAATATAAGCCGTCATTCAATAAGCTAATATTGTAGAAATTAAAGTTACAGGTACATGAAATATCCAGAACAGACCAATTCATAGAGACAGAATGAAGACAGTGTCTCCAAGAGATGGAAAGGGAGGATGGAGAGAAACTAGTAGATGGCAGTAGAGTTTTATTTTGGAGTGATGAAGAGGTATTGAAACTAGATAGAGCACATTGTGAATGTGCTAGCTGCCAATGAATCTGTTCCCTTTAAAATGGTTAATTTTATGTCATATAAGTTTCACCTCCAGGAAAAAAAAACCGTAAGCACGAAAACACTAGGGCCTCCAAGGGAATGTCTTAACTCATCACATTAATCATATATATTTAGTAATACGAATCTCACAACAAAGTTCGAAAAGACACCACATTGTCCCTGGACCTGGCCAAAGATAAGGTGAAGGAGGAATCTGAAGAGGAGGCAAGAAAAGGCACGTGCTGATGCCAGGAAATGGGAATTTCATGACAAAGGAGGGAAAGAGATGGCAGTGAATGGAGCAGGGAAAAATCACAGAACAAGAAGGGAGGGCAACACTGGAAGAGGGAGGCAGGGCAGTGTCACAGACCTTCCATGTTCACAGCCTTGTGTAATTCCTCCCACCCTGGGCTTGGCCATGTGACTAATGTTGGCCAGAAGGACATTAGTAAACATGATGCCAGCAAAGGCCTGACAAATACTTCCATGCAAAGACTCATTCTCCTGGAACACTTACTCAGAAAAGCACAGTATGAGGCCGCACACACCAAACAGACTCAGCTGAGCTCCCACCAGGTGGCCACCTGAAAACTGAGGTCATTCTGGATCTTTCAACCTCAACACTTCAGCCAACATCGAGAAGCAGAAGAACCACCCAGTCAACCCAAAGAATGCTGAGAAATAATGGTCTTAAACCACCAAAGTAACTGAAACACAGCATAATAGTGGTTACTGATGTGGCAGTAATTTACATGTGTTCTAAGGAATACACTCATCCGGGTCACAGATTAAACCCTGTACCTGCAATGGAACCTGATTCCAAGATTAATAATAACCTTCAGAATTCACACAAGACACCTGTCCAGGGTATCACCCACCTTCTACAGAGAATACAATACTCATTCTCAGGCTAACATCACCTTCATTCTTTTATGTTTTATTAATAAAATCTGGACATAGCACCTACAGAAACGTACCTGGCTTTAGCTTTCATATTTGACACTGAAAAGAAAATTCCCTGGGTGACTCAAACAACCTAAGAAGAGGTACTATTTTTCCCCTATACATAACTCACACATGGCAAAATGAATGGCTTTTATCCCAACAATGTCTCAACCGTAAGGGATAAGAACCTCCTCAAGGACTAGGAACCATCTCCAATTTATTCTTATGCTGGAAAACAGCCCTGTGTGGAGGCATAGTTTGCATACAGGCAATTAGTACTTAGACACAGGGTCAAAGAGGTCCTCACTCCAGTGACTGTGGAGCAGGCTGTGCTGCTGGGACTCCTAGTTGCCTAGACAGGCTGCTTGCCGTTGGTTCTGGAGCTGCCTGAGTCCTCTACTGTGTCCTCCTCCTTCACCTCTCTCTGAGTCTGTGGGCCCTGGCTTGACCCTTTGGACTCAACAAGCCTTTCTGCCAAGCTTCTGGGAAAACTGGTAGGCTTCTGTGAGGTCAGCAGAGCTTCTATCTCTTCTTGGAAGACACAGGGCTCTGGGCTGCAGCCTTGCCTCCCTCCACAGTAACTGGCCTGGAGGCTTCTAAGCTTGGTTTGGCATTGCTCCAGAATCCAGTGGAAACCTCATTCACATACCAAGAGCTTGACAACTTCCCCACACAGCTGGCAACTTTGGTGGTACACCCAGAGTTTGTCCTAAAACTGAGACTCACTGAGAATAGAAAGAAAATCCTAGTTTCCTCAGAAGCCCAGTGTGCACCTGCCACTTTCTCATGTGCCAAGTTTGGCTATTTTGCATCACCCCAATCTTTAATTTCCCCTTTGCTGCATTCTCATAGGATTCAACTCCAATCTTACTAGTGGAACTCTTAGAACTTTTACTCACTCTGCAGCTGTGAAAATCGGGGGGAGGGGGCATGTTTTCTCTTTGATTCAGCCCAGAGCCAACACTCAGACCATGAATGGGAAACCCTGTTTATGAAGCAAAGAGCAGACATCAAGGCCCAGTGAGCTGCAGAGCAGCTGTCACTGAATCTGGATGGCTATTTGACCTAGATGGGGCAGAACTGATTTCAGAAAGGAAAGAGGGCAGTTCATGTGGTAGAACCTTCCCCAAGTCTCCTGAGACTCTCGGAAAGGTCTTGGTTCCCCTGCAGGGCCTGGGCATAGAAGTAGACCATCTCAGTTTTGTTTTTTAATCTCCTCTGCCACTGGAGAAACTTGGTGCTATCACAGCTACCAGTTGGTGAGCACACGTTTGGCTATCTGGCACCTATCCCTCACTGTCTGTGCCTCACTGATGGCCACCTGTCCGGCTCCTGCTATGGGCTGCTCTTGTTCTGTCACTGGCTTCCTCTCATATTTTGCTTCTCACTGTTATCCTTCACCTCTCCACACTCTGTCCTACTGCTTTTGGGCTCACACTCCCTCCCTTGGCCTTGCTCACCCTGTCACACATGCCACCCATCCCTGTCATAAGCCCTGACTCTCATGCTGCCCCTTTCTTTCAACCTCTGCCAGTGTCTGTCTTGCCTTCTCTGGTGTTTCATTTACTTTCTCTTTTCCCTCTACAGTCTCCCCACTCTCTCTGTCTCCTTCTCTCTCGAGTTCTTTCAGTCTCTCTGAACAACTGAACACATCCATCTAAACTTAGGGATGGTGGATCCTTACCCAGTGAGATGTGTCTGTCCTTCTTCCGTGTAGCACCGCTGTAAAGGGCTCTTTTTGCAGGGTCAGGGTGTGTCCACTCTTGCTGACAGAGGGATACTGCTCTGCCCTCACACGTGGCTGGTCCCTGTAACAATACCAGGGCTGCTGCTACCAATAAAATAGCACTGCTCTAGCCTGGGGCAGGGGCAGAGACAGGATCAAAGTCATGAGATCAGGGACAAAGCAAGGCAGAGGAAGTCAGGCCCCCACAGGAACAATCAGGATTGGTAAAGGGCCATGTGGTGATGTCAGAGTGGACAGAATAAGAAAACAACCTGAAAAGCTCAATGGACCAAATAAAAGCTTTCAAATGTCTCTGGAAAAGAAGGGGTTTTAGGGTGAGTGTGAGTGCTAAGGCAAAGGGAAAACTTCAAGACACAGAGGCATCAACTACAACTCACCTGGGACCCAGATGTCCAGACCACAGCACCTATCTCCTGGTCTTGGAGACTCCTTTTTTGGGGTAGGTTCCTGAGAGCCTGAGGAACAAGCTGGGCTAGGGAAGAAAACAGTCGAGGTTAGAGGGCAGCTTCCAAACAACAGTCACAGAGCAGAGGTTCTCAAAGTGGGCTCCCTGGACCAATCGCAGCAGCAGCACCTGAGAACCTGTCAGAAATGCAAATTCTGGGGCCCCAGCTCAGATCCTCTGAATCAGAAAGTCGGGAGATGGAGCCTGAGATTATGTGTGTTAACACACTCCCCAGATGAGTCCAAGGCACACTCAAGTGTGAGAACCATGTCCTCTGTGTTTTGAGAAGTTCCTTTCATCAGATTCCTCTTGGCATAACAGTCTAATTTTTTTTTTTAATTTTAAAGTATACTCCATTATTCTATTTAATTTTTTCCCTCTACATAAAGTTCCCTCTATAGCTTCACCACCTAAAGATAACAACAGTACTCTTAAAAATGCCACATTAATAAAAAACTTTTGATTTTTCTTTCTTTTTTTCTTTTTCTTTTTTTTTGAGAAAGCAGGATTTATTGAGAGGACAGAAAAGCTCCCACAGTGGGAGGGGACCTGAAGGAGTTGCCCAACTTTTGTATTTTTCACACTAAGATATACTTTTTCAAATTCCCACCTTCAAGAATTCTACAAATGAGCCAGGAGCAGTGGTTCACGTGCCTGTAATCCCAACATGTTAGGAGGCAGAGGTGGGAGGATTGCCTCAGCCCAGAAGTTTGAGACAAGTCTGAGCAACATGGCGAGACCCCGTCTCTAAAATAAATTTTAAAAATAGCCAGGTGTGGTGGTGTGCACCTGTAGTTCCAGCTATTTGGAAGGCTGAGGCAGAAAGAGCGCCTGAGTCCAGCAGGTAGAGGCTACAGTAACCATGAACATGCCACTAGCACTCCAGCCTGGAAAATAGAATGAGATTCCAACTCAAAAAAAAACTACAAATGAAATAATTCATTTTATGACTTATTATGGAACTTCAGCAGAAACTGAAGAAATGTGACCCCTGGGTAGGTTACAACACTCCAGATCTCTGAGTAGCCTGTGAGTACATAAAAGAAAGGCACAGAGCCTGGAACACAGTGAGTTCTGCCTCCTTTATTGACAGCCCTTGCTGCCCCAAAGCCTTGGAACTCACACCAGAGAGCACAGGTGTGCCCAGAGATTAAAAGGAAATATGTGCTAAGTGGCAAAGTTTATAAATATATTGATAAGAGTATTTACTTTGCTTTAAAAAATACTAAAACAAGCCGGGCACAGTGGCTCATGCCTATAATCACAGCATTTTGGGAGGCAGAGGCGAGAGGACTGCCTGAGCCCAAGGGTTCAAGACTAGTCTGCGTAACTTGGAGACCTTGTCTCTACAATAAATAAAAAAAATTAGCCAGGTGTTGTGGTACACATCTATGGTTCCAGCTACTTGGAAGGCTAATGTGGAAGGACTGCCTAAGTCCAGCAGGTAGAGGCTGCTGTAGCCATGAGAATACCACTGCACTCCATGCCAAGGCGGCAACATGAGACTCCAACAACAACAACAAAAAACCAACCTCAAAAAAATAAACCTCTTAGACAATTTTCCATTTCATAAACACAAATTTGCCAACTTAAACATCATTAAGATACAGTGTTTTCCTCTAGGATTTGTAGAGATGAGCTGGTTTTAAATTACCTAGAAAAATAAATAAATAAATAACTTTTTTTAAAGAAAAAAAAATTACCAAGCAACCTATAATGGCAGCTTTCAGTTAAGCAGAAAAGGCAGCAATGGGTTTTTTTGTAATGTATGAAGTACCCACTTTATTTATTTATTTATTTTCATTTATTTAAGGATTTGGAGTACAATTCAGGATTAGATATACAAATGGTCATTGTACAGGTAAAGTTTGGGTCTCACTTTGGTTCCCACTTCACCTGGTTTTAGATCAGGTACCCTTATTGATGAAGTGTGCCCCCCGGGCAGTTTCCCACTACTGCCAATCTTTTTTTTTTAAGTTGGAGTCTCACTATGTCACCTGGGCTGGAGGGCAGTGACATGCTCACAGCTACCATGGCCTCAACCTGTTGGGCTCAGACAATCCTTCTGCCTCAGCCTTCCAAGTAGCTGGAACTACAGGCACGCACCGCCAGGCTTGGCTAATTTTTCTTCATTTATTGTAGAGACATGTCTCACCAAGTTGTCCAGGCTAGTCTTGAACCTGTGGGCTCAGGCAATCCTCTCATCTTGGCCTCCCAAAGTGCTGGGATTATAGGCATGAACCACCGCACCCAGCCCACCAATCCCTTTTTTATAGTATTATGACAATTGTTCAGTGTCTGCTTATGAGTGAGGACATATGGTACTCAGTTCTTTCTTTCTGTGATAGATCGGCAGTGATGGCTTTAAGGCTATCTAGAGATGTATCAACCAAACTGCTTCATGGAAAAGACTTATAAACATATGGAGCCTTGGTGTATCCATATACCATAAAAGGAGCAATGTACTGATACATGCTCAAAACACACTAAGTAAAAGAAGTTAAACACAAAAGGTCACATAATGTGTATGATTCCATTGATATGAAATGTCCAGAACAAGTAAATCCATAGAGAGAGAATGAGGAGCGTAACAGGTATAAGGTTTCCTTTTGGAATGATGAAAATGTTTTGGTTAGCCAGTGGCTTGTGCCTGTAGTCCCAACTACTTGAAAGGCATCCCAGATATTTGGGAGGCTGAGATGAGAGGATCCCTTGAGTCTGGAGTTCAAGGCTGCAGTGAGCCATGATCTTGCCACTTTACTCCAGCTTGGGCAACAGAGAAAACCACTATCTCTTTAAAAAAAAATGTTTTGGAATTAGATAGAGGTAATGGCTGCACAACATTGTAAATATACTATATATTACTGAATTGTTCACTTTAAAATGGTTAATTTTATGTTATTTGAATTTTACCTCAACTAAGGAAAATTTTTTTTTTTGAGTTGAAGTCTCACTCCATTGCCTAGGCTAGGGTGCAGTGGCATGCTCATGGCCATCCAGGCATCGACTTGCTGGTGATCCTTCCACCTCAGCCTTCCAAGTAGTCGGAACTACAGACACATGCTACCACACCCAGCTAATTTTTGATTTATTGTAGAGATGAGGTCTCACCAAGTTGCCTGGTCTTGAACCCATGGGGTCAGGCAATCCACTCACCTCGGCTTCCCAAAGTGCTGGGATTACAGTCACCGAGTCTGGCCAAGGAAATTTTTTAAATTAAAGAAGTTTTCTAAAACATATTAAACAGCCATACCACCTATATGCATCCAATCTCATCTAAAAAAAAAATTAAGGTAAGTAAAAAGAAAAAATTAGAGCTTTAGAAGAAAGGCAAAAATAATAGGATAAATGTATTCTAGAAAAGATTAAGGTGGGTGGGGAAGAGGGTTTAATGTCTTCCAGTATATGAAGAACTGTTGGGCAGAAGGTGAAGGTAACCGTGTTCATCTTTAATAATAACTGATTCCGAAGTAATACTATAATAAAACCAAATTAGGCTAACACATCAAGAATATCCATCCCTATTTTAAGTACTATTACCCTCAAAAGAAATTTGATATCTGGCTTTTTGGATATACTTCAAAGACATTTAACTTGGAACCCTTGGGTGGACTCAAGTTCAAACCTTCGTTTCCAATAAACAATCGCTCCTCATCCGCCTCAGGTGAGGACAGAGGCTTCTGCTGACCTTCTGACAATTCCTGTGGTCTTTGCTGTGAGCTCTGTGATTCCCTCAAAGTCCGCTTCTCTGGCTGAACCTCCTGTTTCCGTTGGGATCTCAGTGATTCTCTGACTGCTCCCAAAGGGGTCATCTCCTCCATGAGCACTTTCAAGTCCTTCTCAGAATCTGGGACCTGAGAACAAACCCCATCATCTGTCACTACAAATTCCTGCCTAAGCTGAACTTTACCACCCCTAAGAGTAGCATTAAAAATGATGTGAAACATAGGAATCAGAAGAGAAATATTCTAGTAGCCATAGAATTAGGTCTTTGAAGTAGTTAAGTAAAAACATTTCTATAACAGCACATAGGATAGAGCCTGATACACCAGAACTGCTAAAAAAAAAAAAAAAAGTGGGCTGGGCTTGGTGGCTCAGTCTATAATCCCAGCACTTTGGGAGACCGAGGCGAGTGGATTATCTGAGTCCATGGGTTCAAGACCAGCCTGGGCAACTTGGTGAGACCTCGTCTCTACAATAAATAAAAAATTAGCCAGGTGTGGTAGCACGCACCTGTAGTTTCAGCTACTTGGAAGGCTGAGGCAGAAGGTCGACACTGGGGTGGCCATGAGTGTGCCACTGCACTCCAGCCTGGGCAACAAAGTGAGACTCCAACTCAAAAAAAAAGTGTTCATTTTTTTGGAAGTGAGAATGTCAGCTTTCACTTTAGAAAGCCCCATGACCTTAGCACGAGATCAATTCCTCTCCCCCTCAAATCTAACATCAGTTCTACCTTCAAAAGATACTTTGCATTGGATTTCTCTCCACCTCCACAGCTTCTAGCTGGGTCTGCACACTGTTGGCTGTCTGGACTGCTGCCATGGCCTCTTAACTGGCTACCCTGCATCTTCTCTACTGTTGGACCCTATGATCCATTCTCTCTACGTGGAATCCATTGTGATTGTTTAAAACTCTGCAATCATCTGGGTGCGGTGGCTCAGCCTATAATCCCAGCACTTTGGGAGGCCGAGACAAGAGGATTGCCTGAGCCCAGGGATTCAAGGCCAGCCTGGGCAACTTGGTGAGACCTCGTCTCTGCAATAAATCACAAAAAATTTAGCTGGACGTGGTGGCATGCATCTGTAGTTCCAGCTACTTGGAAGGCTGAGGTGAAAGGATCACCTAAGCCAAGCAGGTCGAGGCTGTGGTGGCCGTGTGCATGCCTCTGCACTCCAGCCTGAGCAATGGAATGAGACTCCAACCCAAAAAAAAAAAAAAAAATCTACAATCATATTCTCTCCCTGGTAACATTCAGTAACACTTTTCAGTGGCTTCCTCCTGCACACAGGATAAAACCCCAAACTCCTCTTTGCAACTTACAAGGTCGAGCAGAACTGGGCCCTGTCTCTTCCCCCACCTTCTTTCACACCACTCTTCCCCAACCCCTGAGCTCCTGCCACAAGTCCTCCCTTCGTTCTCAAACGTGCCAAGTCCCCTCCCATCTTAGGCTCTTGCATACTGTGCTCTCTGCCTGGAGGACTCTCCTTCCAGCTCTTGGGACTATTGATTCCTTCTCCTCTTTCAATGTCACCTCGCAGAGGCCTTGCCTTACAACCTATCTCCCCCATTAGAGATACCACATCACCCTGCTCATCTCCTTCCAAGCACTTATCTGAAACTGTCTGTTATTTATTTGCTATTGTCTGTGTCCCCCATGGAATGAAGGCTCCAGCAAGAGCCCTGCCTGTCCTGTTCACTGTAAAATCCCCAATATTTGACCCATCATAGTCACTTAAAATCAACTTTTGTCTTTCAGAGCCATCTTCATTCCTTAAGACCCATGCTTATAACTCGTCCTTAAAAGTGAATGAAGTGAGGTATAGAGAAGTAACTGGGGTCCTGAAAAATTCTGTCAACCTCCATTACTATTTCTCACCCCACTCTTCCTGTTCTCCACTTTCATGACAGGTTGCAAACAGGCATTTAACCTTGACACTCCTATTCTGTTTTCATTTCCATTAAAATTTTGGTTCTGAAATAGGGATGAGAAGGGCAAAGAGCATCAACACAGAGAGATGCTCTTTGTGCAAGGGGAACCGAATCTAGGATAACTATTAGCTTATTGAGAGTCCCACTCTGTGTATTTCATTTTTCCAAGTTTTACCTGCATACAAGCGCTATACCTCTCCACTCAATCCTACTTATTAGTAAGAGTCCCAGTGCCACAGATTTCAAACTAACTTCCTCAACTTCTTCCTTGATGCACCACTACCAAGCTCTCTTCCCTTTTCTAAATTAAGTCAAAAGTACTGAATCTTCAATCCTACCAGATGTCATCATTTCTCCTCCCACAGCCCATGTACATCCCCACCTCCTCACTGGGAAACACACTCACCTTCACAGCATGGGTCCTTCCCATTCTAGACTCAGGGCACACAGCAAGCTGCTTCCTGCTCTGACTGCAGACCCACCCAGGATGACCAGCATTCCTCTGACTCAAACCCCTCTGTTACTCTGGGTCTCTCCCAGACATACTAGATTTCAGTTGCCCTCCTCTTACCACCAAGCCTGCAGATTACTTTTCCTTCTTCTGTGCCTTTCACACCCTTCTCCCCAAAGACACAAGATGGTTACACTGATTAGATCTCAGACCTAGTCCCAACCACAAGAGGATATTTTGGGAACTTATTACTGTCCCAGACTAAAACTTAATCCAGACAGCAAGAACCAGGGCAAGGCCCTGCTCTAATATAACCTTGTTTAGTGTATAATACATGGCTTCTGTCCTCAAAGAATCTTCTAGCAAGAGATTTTCATTCACCCACATCTCTTTTTCCTGACCCCCAAAGTGAAGGATAGTTGTCCTTTCCTTGGCCTTGTTTTGAAGAATTTTTCTGAGTGTTTTTACCAGTTTAATTAGAGACTTCAAACATTACTGACTAAATGAGTGTCTAGCAGTTATACCCACAGAAAAGTAATTCTCATACAGTAAGGGTATAGGACCAACTCATGATAGCTGAGACCATCTGTGAGCAGCAGAAGGCTACTCTGTGCTTCTCAACTAAGTACCTCTCTAATAACTGGATTCCCTAACTTCTTTATAACCAACACCACAGGTTCCAACTTCTTTTTCTCACCTGTTGTCCAGGAGTACTCTGTACATCCTCAACCAGAGCCACAGCTTCCTCGCCATTTTCTGGATGTTGCTCCCTCACCCATGTCTGGATTTTCTCTGGCAAGATGGTTAGAAACTGCTCCAAAACCAGCAGCTCCAGGATTTGCTCTTTCGAGTGTGTCTTAGGCCTCAGCCACTGACAACAGAGTTCCCAGAGTTTGCTAAAAGCTTCATGGGGGCCAGCTACCTCCTGGTAGCAGAACTGCCTGAAGCGCTGGCGGGAGGCCTCAGTATCAGGGCTGTTGCCCTGAATGGCTGATTTCTGGCCCTGTGTGGAGTCCTTGTTTGAAGATGGGTGTGCCTGGGGACTCCTTGCTGCTGCCATCATCCGCTTCAATGAAGTGGCTCACTCTGTTTGCCACTTCTACCCTGGGGGTCAGATTCCGTCTATTCCCATATCACTGGGAAGCCATGTTCTCCTACAAGGAGTATCTTTCTGGAATCAGAGGGACATGAAAGTGTCAGAAATGTGCAAAGACTCATGGCTGAAAGAAAAGGCTCAACTTTGAAGGGAGGTTAAAGGGGATGGGAAAAGACAGGATAAACCTATCCCACCCTTCACTCTGCTTCTTGTGATTTACTTCCTGTCCCTTTCCTTTAGTACTTCCACAAATCCACACCAAGGATCCAGAACACTAGAAATATTTTTTGAAAAACATAGTTTTCTCCCAATCAAGATTCTGTATCTGCTAATGAATTACCCAGATTATTCCCCACAATGCAGTCCATCTGTTCCCTCCCTTCTTCCCTCACATGCTTGAGTCTTTTTCCTGTCCTTGCCTATCGTCAAAATACCTGGACTCACCTTCCCAGTCACCATCTTCTCTTAAGGAAAGAACCAGTACATGTGTACATCTTAATTAACTTCATCACTATTACACCGCTCACCCCTATTACACTGCTACCACCACACACACACAATGTGGCTAAGTTATTGTTTGGGTTTGCTATGTGTTTTTATCTTCAGCATTCCTTCCTCACTTCTGAAAGTAGCATCTTCTTCCTTTGTGACACAGTCCCTCTCTACTTCATTGGTTCCGGTGGAGTAATTAATTATAATACCCTTCTCCCCACCCCAGGAGTGGGCATATGCCATAGCTGGGCCCATCAAAATTTTTTTCTGAGATTTTACATACAGGATGGGTGGGAAAGGTTCTGAATTTCCTGAGAATTGCTAAGTTGGGTGGATGTAGGACTAGCACTCTCTGCAACTATGTCCCACACACCCCATTCTCCTCATCCACCACAGGGGTGAGCCTGTTTACAGAAGGAGACCAGCACACCAGAGTCTTGATGTCATGTCTGGATTTCCAAGGCCAGTTTATGTAAATCAATATTTTTTAATTGGTTTGAATTGTGTTTTACTTACTTGGAGCAGAGATTAAAGAAGATACAATCATAATGGGCAATTTTAGATTTTAAATAGGAGCTGATATATCCTCATCAGGCAGTATTACAATGAATTCAGGCTGCACAATGATACAAATATACTCAACACTACTGAACTGTACTCTTGAAAATGGCTAAGATGATAAATTTTATGTTATGTTCTTTAAAATTAAATTTAATATTTAAAAAATGGATTTTTTTCTCAAAAAATCTGAACTGCCTTCACTTAAATTCTCTTCATATTTCAATGTGGCAGGCGGGGCTAGAGCCTGAAAAATCCAGGGTATTGCTAGCACTTCTTTTTAAATGGGCAACAGGACGATGAAATACCTTGCCTGGCATCACATGGCACTGCTCCTAAGCAGCAAGGTCAGAACTAGAACTTGCACCCTTCCTTGCCTTACGCAAGTTCTGACATCCTGTACCTTATCTGGCTGAAGAATAGTTTCACAAATGCTCTCCCAGTTTTCATGCAGAAGGCATAGCCTGCACTCCTCTTGACTCCTGACATTCCATTCATCGTTAAATTTGAAGATGCTGGTCTCTCAAAAACGTATTTCACTCTGCCCCAATGCTCGAAGAAATGCAGAATGAGCATGAAGAGCCTGGCTGCTTCGTTTTTCACTCAGTAAGTATTTACTGAGTACTTACAATGCACTCCGTGCTAGGGATAGATGCTGAAGATCAGAATGAATAGCGAACGCGCAAAACGCGACCAGATAAGCAGGGTCGGGGCGGGCGGGTCCAGGCGCCTACCTCAGGACGTAGAACCCGGGGCGCCCGCGTTCGGGCGCGGGATCTGCTCTGGGTCGGCTCGGTGGGGGCGGGGGACACAGGAGGGAGGGGCACCGGGGCGCGGGGTGGCGAACGCCGAGCCACTGGGGGCGCCCAGCCTGAAGGAGGCCGCCGGTCCCACCGAGATGCCCACCTGGGCCTGACCCAATCGCCTCCGAGAAGACTCCCAGCGGCGTGGAGCTCCCTGGCCGACGTGGGGCTCAGTCCGTGAGCACCTCAAGCCACGAGGAAGGGGAGGACTCACCCAACACGAGCACTCGCGAACCCCCACACTCCCTCAGCCGCCGGGCCGGAAGTCAGCGGCGCGAGCCCGGCTGCCAGCCCGCCCACTACGCACGCTCGCAAATCGAGCCCCCGGACTACAGCTCCCGGGATGCACTGCGACGGTATTGACAAACCCAACAGCCAATGGACAACGAAGATGCCCTCGATGAGCCAATCCCTTGGGGGGAAGGCGGGTCCTCCTGGGGTAGTTCCTCGGCAGCCAGTGGGCGTCTCTGCGACAAGCGGCTTCGGCCCCGCCCCCAGCCCGTGCTCCTGGGTACCGGGTCCCCGGTCCCGGGTCCCCAGAGAGGTGAGTCGGCTGCTGGTGGGCGTAGGGTGCTGTGCTGCCTGGCGTAGCGGCGTCGCAGTCGCTACCCGAGCTTAAGCCAGCCGTGTAGTTGAGCTGCGCGCCAGACTGCCGCAGCTTCGTCAGGCCCGGGGTTAGCTGGGCCGCGGAGCCGGACGGAGCGGGGCCACCCTGGAGGCCGGAGCCGCCGGGCCTGCGGCGCCTCGGGACTAGCACCCACTGCGCCTGCCTCCACCTCGCTCTGGTGCAGGAAGCTCACGCCTCACTCACAACCCCTGGCTTGTGCTGTGGCCTTCGAACTGGCTCCTTCCTTTAGCTCCCAGAGACATGCTCGGAGTTGGTTTCAACCAGGATGCGGGAGAGTTGGTGCAAGCTACCTGTAAGACAGCTTGAACTTTTCCTAGGGATTCCTCTACCAGCCCTTATATTGCATTGCTCATTTCGTCTGAGACCTTGTCTGCGCATTACTAAAATAAAAGAAATGTTTTCCCCAGTGTCCTTTTAGGACGTTTTGACTTTTCTCCTTTGCAAGACAGTTTCCAAAAAACTGACGGAACAACCAACTCTTCACACTCCCTCGGACTTGCCAGCAAATGAGAAAACCCTGCCTCTGCGTCTGGTCCTCTCTAACATCCTCAGAGGAGCTTCTTTCTAGCATTTCGAGAGACTTCTCTAGGGTCATGACCCTAAAGGCTTGACGCATTTGCAAGGAGAAAGACGTCTCCTGATTGCCAAAATGGCAGCTAAAATGGAGATAACTTTGAGCTCTCACACTCAGGCTTCCTCCAAGCAAGAGAGACACATAATAACAAAACTAGAGGAGAAACGGGAGCCTACTCTACAAAAGAACTGCTTGGATCCCGAGCTCTCCCGCCAGAGCTTCAGACGATTTTGTTACCAAGAGGTAGCTGGACCCCAAGAGGCGCTCTCCCGACTCAGACAGCTCTGCCATCAGTGGCTGCAGCCTGAGCTGCACACCAAAGAGCAGATTTTGGAGCTTCTGGTGATGGAGCAATTCCTGACCATCCTGCCCCCAGACATCCAGGCTCGTGTCAGACATCGATGTCCAATGAGCAGCAAGGAGATTGTGACCCTTGTGGAAGACTTTCACAGAGCATCCAAGAAACCAAAGCAGTGGGTAAGGAGGGTCCTCTCTCATGGTCCCCAGACTTTCCTTTTCATCTGGGTAATGTTTGGTCTCTGGGTCCTTCCTTACTTAGACAGAGTCCAGAAACGAACTGGTTGGCTTCAAAAGTTGCTTCCAGACTCTATCTGGGAACCTCCTGTGAATTCAACAGGTTTTCACAAAACCCAGCTAGTGATATCCAGTGAGGAAGTAGAGGACCAAGATTTTTACCATTCCTTTATGAAGTTCTTGAATCTCTGCTGTTGGATCTTCCCCTACCCTATTTCTTTTGAAGTTTTCCTACATTCAGAATTCTTAGCAGCCAGGGTCTTCCTGTTGGGTAGGAATTTGACTTTAGGGAACTTCACTGGCCTTTGTTCCAGTTAAGTGTTTGGCATATTGTCTTTGGATCAGAAAGTTACAGCACAATTGGCCAGTGTTGCTATTCCTTTTCTTTTCTTTTCTTTTCTTTTTTTGAGTTGGACTCTCACTCCCTCACCCAGACTCCCTCCCTCACACTCACGGCCACTGCAGCCTCAACCTGCTGGGCTCTGGCGATCCTTCCACCTCAGCCTTCCAAGTAGCTGGAACTACAGGTGCGCAGTACCACACCCAGCTAACTTTTTATTTATTGTAGAGATCAGGTCTCGCCAAGTTGCCCGGGTGGGTCTCGAACCTGCGGGCTCAGTCAATCCACTCACCTCGGCCTCCCAAAAGCACTGGGATTACAGGCTGAACCACTGAGCCTGGCTGCTGTTCCTTTTCATGCCCCAAGTCAGACCCCAGTCAAGGCCTAGGCAAGAAGCAAACGAGCAGGTGCTTTGGAAACTGCTAGAAACTGGGAGTTGGGGGGGAGTTCTCTTAGATACCACTACTGGGATCTCCTTATCAAGCGAACCTTTGGCAGAACAATTTATTACATTAGAACATTTTTTAACTGCCCCTCCCCACACTGCCTCCTATTCCTAAAGGCCTGCTTCCAGCAGAAATAGGGAGGGGAGGTGGTGTGTAGGATAGGAATTGGATGGGCCAGTGTCATAAGCACCCTGATATTTGTACCAGCTCTTCTCTGATAACTGTCTCAAGGTCTGGAGAAAGACCCAAGGCTGAGGGGCAGCTACCTGGCTGGTTTGAAGCAACCTCATTCTTGTCATTCTGCATGCCCTTCCCTTTGCTTCCTTTCAGTGTGTCAGTCTAAGAAAGTTGACCTCTAGGCCATTATCAGGAATTCCCAAGATAAATGGGTCATTATAGAACAGTGAGTGGTCAAGCTGCCCTCAGTCATCTTAACAGAGTTAATGGATGGGGCTTCTTCCTAGGTGGCCGTTTGTATGCAGGGGCAGAAGGTGCTCTTGGAGAAAACTGGATCTCAGCTTGGAGAACAGGAACTGCCAGACTTTCAACCACAGACTCCTAGGAGAGATTTCAGGGAGAGCTCTCTGGAGGAGCCTTCCCATGTGGCATCTTATGACCGACTGAGCCCCCATCATTGGGAGAAATCCCCACTCCTCCAGGAACTGACCCTCAAATTGGCTGGGACAGGTAAACACTCCATGCCTTTTCTCCATCTCATTAGCACTTTGTCTCCATCAAAGCATCTCGTGGCCTGCAAAGGCATAGACCACATGTGTGTGGTTTAATGTTTTATGTAATAATAGATGTTTGTTCCTTAAAACATTTCACTAATTAGTATAGTGGTGATACTATAAATAAGAATATTTAAAAAATCATTTTCTATTAATGAATATTTGATAATCCAGCACATGACAGGAATATTCTAGTACTTGCTTTTCTGTTCCTTTCAGAGTTTCTTACAGCGAAGACAGATCCAAATGTGACCACACTGAATTCCCATGCAAGCTGTGTCTGAGTTTCATTAATTAAAATGGTCTCATGTTTAGAAGGGGCCTAGTAGAGGAAAAGTCCTGGTCCGTGTTACTTTTCTTCCTCCTCCTCTGTGACATTGTTTTTGCTTTAAACCCTTGAGTTTATTTTTCTTTCTCTAGTGCAATACTTGTGTAACTGCTGACTTAGTTCTACATAGTCCTGTGATTTCTGAGACTGAATGACAGTAACTTTGTCTATGCTTGTTGATGTGACTGCAAGATACAGTCAGCAGGTTAGAGAGGACAGTTATAAGGAGACTAGAGCATTATTTTCTCAACATTTGCTACATTCAATGAGACACTTAGTCTGTTCAGGCTGCTATTATAAAAGACTAGCCACTAACTAGTTTATAAACAACAGAAATTTACTACTCTCAGTTCTAGAGGTGGGAAGTTCAAGATCATGGTGCCAGCATAGTTTGGTTCTGGTGAGAGCCCTCTTCCAAGTTGCAGATTGCCAACTTCTGTCTGTATCCTCACATGATAGAAGGGGCAGACAAGCTCCTTCAGGATTCTTTCATAAGAGCACTAATTCCATTCCCATGAGGGCAGAGTCCGCATGGCCTAATCACCTCCCAAGGTCTCACCTCTTAATACCATCACCTTGGGAGTTAGGATTTCAACATATGAGTTTGGGGAACATAAACATTCTGTTTATTGCACTTGGGTTTGATTATTCTCAGAACTCAGGAAATGGAGAAGATCTGGGGCATCTAGTAGAAAAACTTGTGACCCTGGCTGAGGTTCTGCCCTATAACCTATGGTCTTTGTGGTACTAAAGAAAGTAGACCACACACATGCCCTTCTCCTGCCTCAACAGAGACAACCTAGTATGTGTGTGCTGTCTGTCTCTGCTTTCATTTGATCTCCAAGAGGGTAGATTGCCATGTTCCTCATCCCTAAGATCTACAGTGCCTTTCTTCAGCTGCGCTATCAATACAGTAGCTACTAGTCATGTGTGGCTATTCAAATTTTACTCATTTAGTTATAATTCACATACCATAAAGTTCACTCTTAAAGTATACAGTTCAGCGATTTTTATTACATTCACAAAGTTGTGTAACATCACCACTATGTAATTCCAGAACATTTCATCACCTCAAAAAGAAACCCCATTACCCATTAGCAGTCCCTCCCCATTTCTCTCTTTCCCCAACCCCTAAAAACCTCTAATCTACTTTCTTTTTCTTGATTTGCTTATTAATAGAAATTGAATCATACAGTATGTGGTATTTTATATCCGGCTTCTCTCACTGAACATAATGTTTTCAAGCTTCATTCATGTTACAGTATACATCAATGCTCCATTCCTTTTTTATTGCTTAACAATATGCATTGTATGGATATACTGCATATTATTTATACATTTATCAGTTTTTAAAAAAATATTTTCTGGCTACTATGAATAATGCTGCTGTGAACATTTGTGTACAAGTTTTGTTTTCATTTCTCTTGGATTTATACCTAGGTGTGGAATTTCTAGATCATATAGTAATTCTGTTTAACTTTTATGAGGAACTACCAGACAGTTTCCCAAAGTGGCTGTACCATTTAACATTCCCACCAAGAGAATATGAGGATTCTAATTTCTCCACATCCTTGTCAGCACTATTTATTCTCAGTCTTTTATATTATACTCATCCTGTTAAGTGTGAAGTAGTATCTTCCTGAGGGTTTGATTTGCATTTCCCTAATGACTAATGAGGTTGAGCATCTTTTCATGTGCTTGTTGGCTAATTGTATATCTTTGGAGAGCTGTCTGTTCAGATCTTTTGCTCATCTTTAAATTGGGCTATTTATCTTTTTACTGTTGAGTTGTAAGGATTTTTTATGCAGCTTTATATATAATTTGCAAATGTTTTCTCCCATTCTGTAGGTTGTCACCTTACTTGATAGTATTCTATGAAGCACAAATGTTTTTCTTTGCTTATGTTTTTGGTGTCATATCTAAAATACCATTGCCTAATCCAAGGTCACAAATATTTACTGCTATGTTTTCTTCAAAGAAAGTATCCTTAGCTCTTACATTTAGGTCTTTGGTTCATTTTAATTTTATTTTATATATGGTATGAGTTAGGGGGTCTGCCTTAGTCCATTCAGGCTGCTTTAACAAAATATCTTAGACTGGGTAATTTATAAACAACAGAAATTTATTGTTCACAGTTCTGAATGTTGGGTAGTTCAAGAACAAGGTGCCAGCAGATTTGGTGTCTCGTAAGGGTCCCTTTCTTACAGGTGGTGCCTGCCATGTGTCCTTATGTAGTGTAAGGAGCAAACTAGCTCCCTCAGCCCTCTTTATTAAGGACACTAATCTCATTCATGAGGGCTCCATCTTCATCACCTAATTACCTCCCAGATGCCCCACCTCCCAATACCACTGCATTGGGGACTAAGTGTCAATATATGAATGGGGAGAGGCATAAACAGACCATAGTAAAGTCCAACGTCATTCTCTTATATGTGGAAATCCAACTGTCTTAGCTTCATTTATTAAAAAGACTATTCTTCAGGCAAAATAAGGACGAAAGGGAGGCCCAAACTTTGCCTGTATAATGACCACTTGTAGACCTAATCCTGAATTGTACCTCACATCTTTAAAATAAATAAATAAATAAATTTTTTTGAAAGACTATTCTTATCCCATTGAATTGTCTTGAGAACTTTGTTGAAAAGCAATTGACCATAATTGTATGGGCTGCTTGTTTAAATTTGCATTTAAATTAATTAAAATTGAATAATATTTAAAAGTCAGTTTCTCAGTCACACTAGCCACATTTCAAGTACTCAGTAGCCACATAGTACATGTGGTTAGTGGCTGCCATATTGAATAGTGTGTGTGCATGTGCATACACATACAGTTTCCACATCACAGGAAGCCCTGTTGGAGGGCTCTATTCCAGATACTCTGACTTCCCACAGGCCATTCTAACTTGTTTCCATTTGGATCGTCAGTACTTCCATAAGTAGGATACTTGGCTAGCCCATATTCCAGTTTCTGAACACATTTGCTATCAACTTCGTAATAAACAAAAAAAATACTATAGACACTGAATTTACCATCCTTTGAAGAAAAGGTGGTTGTAAATCACCTCTCTTAAGTGAGGGGTATTTGTTGAAGTAGCTCAGGCACTGGACTATAGCAGTGAAGTTTGTAATGTTGAAATTTCAACTCTCTTCCTTCTTTCATTCATTAGTTAATACTCGGTTCTAAGGTGTTTGCTTTTCCCTGTTTCTCCTTTCCTAAACCTGTCTCTAAAGGTAAAAAGGAGGGAGGGGGTTGGAGAACTTGGTTCCTTACTTAAATATAAATCAGAATCACCCCAGGAGCCTGTTAACTGCAGATTTCCGGGCCTAATACCCAGAGATTCTGACTCAGCTGCTTTGGGAAAGAGGCAAGAAACTTGTTTATGTAACAAGTGCCCCAGATAAGTGCAAGTTGCCAGTGAAGGGCCTCCCTTTGAGAAACTGCAGACTGTTTCATTACTCCTTTGCTGAAGTTATTTCTCCCAAGTCCAGACAATAAAGCATTTTTTTTCTAATTACAGAGGCCCCCAGAATGAGAAGTGACAACAAGGAAAATCCACAACAGGAAGGGCCTAAAGGAGCAAAGCCTTGTGCATTGTCAGCTGGCAGAACCAAAGGGAATGGTCTGCAGAGTCCTGAGCCAAGAGGGGCAAATATGAATGAGCCTCGGTTGTTACAGAGGCAGGTCAGCCCCCCAAATGCTCAAAAGCCAATTACTCATTACCAGAGACATTGCAGGGAACTGGAATACATCAGCAGCCCCCTAAAAAGCCACCCACTGAGAGAGCTGAAGAAAAGCAAAGGAGGTAAAAGAAACTTGACCAACCGTTTGCAACATCTCAGTCATCAGCCTACCCGCTCAGCAAAGAAACCCTACAAATGCGATGACTGTGGGAAAAGCTTCACATGGAATTCAGAGCTGAAAAGACACAAGAGAGTCCACACTGGAGAGAGACCCTACACATGTGGAGAGTGTGGAAACTGCTTTGGGCGGCAGTCAACCCTGAAGTTGCACCAGAGGATCCACACTGGAGAGAAACCATATCAGTGTGGCCAGTGTGGGAAAAGCTTTCGCCAGAGCTCAAACCTTCACCAGCACCATAGGCTCCACCATGGGGACTGAAAGCAGCAGCCCATGCTTTCAGAAGGTGTTTTTGTTTCTCCTCTCCCTTACTTGCATGTAAATCACAAAGATGTCTGTGTGACTTACAAGGAAAGCAAGAGACCCGTGAAGAATGATGATGCACATTCAGCTGGTGAGCACCAGGCGAGGCTGACCAGGGCACAACCATGCACAGGGTGAAGAGGTGACAGGTCTTGGCATTGAGGTGAAGAGAACTTCAGTCTCTGCAGAGTGACTACTGGAAAAATCAGAACTATCCTGCAACTGGCCCCTTATTGTTCAATCATCCCCTTATTGCTTAATTTATCCTCTAAAATTTGTTAAAGGGTAAATTCTATATATAGTTATGCATTTGCTGTCATACCAATTTTTATCATGCACATCTTCCTTTAATAAAGACAAGTAATCTATCAGAATTTCCAGGCAACCTTCATGGAAAATAGATTCCCCCAGTATTCTTTCTGTAATTCTTAGCTTGTTCATTAACAAAGGGTAAATTGGCCATGCGAGGTGGTTCACGCCTATAATCCCAGCACTTTGGGAGACTGAGGTGAGAGGATTGCCTGAGTCTACAGGTTCGAGACTAGCCTGGGCAACTTGGCTAGACCTCATCTCTACAATAAATCAAGAAAAATTAGCTGGTACTACTTGGAAGGCTGAGGCAGAAGGACTGCCTGAGCCCAGCAGGTCAAGGCTGTGGTGGCCATGAGCATGCCACTGCTCTCCAGCTTGGGTGACAGAGTGAGACTCCAGCTCCAAAAAAAAGGGTGGGGAGGTGAATTAAATAAGAGTATGTACATGTTTGTGTGAGGAGAGGATTTCCAAGTAATTCAATTGTGCTTTTACAAAAGAAAACTGCATTTAAGGAGCCTTTTTGTATCAAAGTACCTTTGCTTTAGAAAAAAATCTAGCAGGGCATGGTAGTTCATACCTGTAATCCTAGCACTTTGGGAGGAGGAGGCAGGAGGATTGCTTAAACCTAAGAGTTCTACACCAGTGTGGGCAATAAAGCGAGACCTCGGTTTTTTTATTCTACAAAAATAAAAATAAAAAATAGCAAGGCATGGTGGCATGCTCCTGTAGTCACAGCTACTACAAAGGCTGAGGCAGAAGGATCACCTGAGTCCAGGAGGTCAAGGCTGCAGTAAGCACTGATTGTGCCACTGTACTCCAGTCTAGAGCAGTGAGGCCCTGACTCAAAAAAAAAAGAAGAAGAAGAAAAAGAAAAAGAAAATCCACACAGTTGCTGCAACCCTAGCCCAAAAGACAGGGAAAAGCAACAGTGAGAAGTGAGTAGTGGATAAAGACTGCTAAGGAGATGTAAGAGGGAATTCTTCCCACTCTGCTTTCTCAGGCCAGTCGCTTTAAGAATAACAAAATGATAGGGGTGATGCAAACGTTCTAATACTGGATTATGGTGATGCCTGCACAACTCTGTACGTTTACTAAAAGTCATTGAAATCAGTTAATTTCGTGACATGTAAATTGTACCTCAATAGTGTTTTTTAAAGTAGAAATTAAAACTCAATCACATACAATTCTTAGTCACCCTGGGCAAGCCAGCTCACTTCTCAGAGACAAAATTTGGCAGATGAATGCACTAACTCGTGCAGAAAACAGCAGCAGGTAGCATTCCTCCTAAAACATCAGTATCAAGTCACTGCCAGTCATGTCAGGTCTGTGACCTGTGCTCTTCTCTTCCCAGAAATCTCACGTTCTTCCCTGCGGAGGGACATGTGCACCCCCATGAGTTCTCACTGGGGCATCTACATATGTCGTTTCCATAGCTTTATTTTCTGCTGCAATCTATCCCTGCCATGCACACCTCCTCCATCTCTCAAGAGTTACCTGCTCTGCAAAGCCTTCCCTGATGAGCCCTAGAAAGACTTCTGTTGTAATTGGGTCACCCCCATGCTAGACTCCATATACTAAGAGTGCTCAACCTGGAACCCTCTCCCTCCCAGGGGACATTTGGCAATACCTGAAGACATTTTTGGTTTTTATGACCGGGGGAGAGAGAGTTGCTTCTGGCCTCTTGTAGGTCCTGCTGAATGTCCCACAGTGCATAGGACAACCCCCGTGACAATTATTTGGCCCAACATATCAATAGCACCAAGGTTGGGAAACTACCATAGCCTGTTAAAGCTCTTTTAGGACCAGAACATTGTTTGGTGTTTTTTTTTTCCAATCATTTTGGACTTTGCTCATGCTCAGCTGAGAGAAACAGATGTACAATAATTGAATAGTTGAGGACCTCAGCTTTACCTGCAGGACCAGTTTCAGAGGGCTTTACCTGCAGATGCCTGAATTCAGAGATCAATGACCAATCTGTTGAATGCACAGACAAACTTCTGTCTTTTGGGCAGAGGCTATTGAAAGCCCAGCAGCCTTCCTCATAGGTTTTGGTGGTTCTTTAGGCCCTAATCTCTTTCTCATCTATTATGTTAAATCTTGAAGAATTTATCTTCAGTGTCTGTCCCCCCACCAACCTCACTCCGGCCCACTGCCTCCACTTGGCCAAGGCCTCTTTATCTCACTGTGCTTCCCCTCACCAAGCCCCCTTTTTCCAGGTGAATTTCACTGTTTTTCTTAATAGCCTCCAAGTCATAGTCATATCTGTATTAGTTCCCTATTAATATTGTAACAAATGACCACAGACTGAGTGGTTTAAAACAATATAAACTTCTTCTATTTTTCTGAAGGTCAGAAGTTCAAAGTCAGTTTCACTCAGCCAAAAGCAAGCTGTTAAGCCAAAATCAAGCAGGCTTGTTCCTTCTGGAGACTGAGAGATGAATCTGTTTCCTTGACTTTTTCAGCTTCTAGTAGCCACCTGCATTCTTTGGCCCCTTCCTCCACTATCAAAGTGCATCACTCCAGTTTCTCAATGCATCACCTTTTTCTCCTGGCCTTCCTGCCTCCCTCTTATAAGGGCTGTTATGCTGGGCCTATTGGCATAATACAGGAAAATCAGTGTGGTGTTGTTGTTGTTGTTGTTTTTGAGTCAGGGTCTCGCACTGTTGCTCAGGCTGGAGTGCAGTGGCACAAACATGACTCACTGCAACCTCGACTTCCTGGGCTCAGATGATCCTTCTACTTCAGCTTCCTGAATAGCTGGAACTACAGGCACATGCCACCCACCTGGCTAATTTTTTTATTCTGTGTAGAGATGAGGTCTCACTATGTTGCCTGGGCTGGTCTTGAACTCCTAGGCTCAAGCAATCCTCCCACCTCAGCCTCCCAAATGTTGAGATTACAGGTGTGAGCCACCACACTCAGCCTCAAGATCCTTAAAAACATCTGCAAATACCCTTTTGCTATATAAGGTAACATTCATGGACTCCAGAGATTAGGATTTGGACATGTTTGGAGGGCCATGATTCAGCCTACCACATATGTCTATCTTGAATCAACTTGTTCAGTCAAAGAGGATCTTTCCTAAAAGACAAGGAACATAGATTTCCATTTTTCTTATTTATAAGTATTGGCACAGGAGCTTTTCCTTAAATAAGAGTTTTTGCTTGCTTGTTGTATTTCAAAATGTGTGTGTGTGTGTGTGTGTGTGTGTGTGTGTGTGTGTGTTTTCTTCTGATTACAAACTCAATAATTGTTTAATATTAGTGTCTCTGGGGTCCTGTTCAACTGTGGGCCTTGAATAAATGCAACAAAATTGCCATTTGGAATATCATTTATTTCTGAAGGGTTTCAAGCCTACAATGCTATCTCACCTTTCCCAGCCAAATTTTCTTTTGTCATAAGGTTCAATTCCAGGCGAGAGGCACTAGGAGGAACCTAACAACTTGAAGAAGGATCTTGGGTACAGTGATCAGATGTAGACTTCCCTATATGCATGGTCCACCAGAGGGCCTCTGCATGAAATGCTGACCTGCTGACTTCCCAATATAAGGAACAAATCTCCTTTCATGTGCAGCCCTTGCCCGCAGAGCAGCCTATAGGTTCTGCCATCTTTTCTGGGTCTTGCCCTGTACTTACCCATGGCAGGGTGGGGATGATGCCTGCTCAGCATATTTGATCCCTAGGTTGTCCCCAGAGAGATGGGAGGAGGGAAGAAGCACCACTAGACAGTTAGGGAACTGGACACTGCAAATTTCCCTGAAGAGCATTTTCCATTTACAGCAGATAAGGACTTATAAAACCCATCCCATAACACCATTATCATTCCCATCCAAATTAGCAATAATTTGGCTGGGCTTGCACCTGTAATCCCAGCACTTTGGGAGGCCGAGGCAGGAGGATTGCTTGAGCCCAGGAGTTTGAGACCAGTCTAGGCAACATAGCAAGACCTCATCTCTACAAAAAGTAAAAAAAAAAAAATAGCCAGGTGTGATGGTGCACACCTGTAGTCCCAGCTACTTGGGAGGCTGAGGTGGAAGGATCTCCTGAGTGATGGAGGCTGCAGTGAGCTGTGATTATGCCACTGCACTCCAGCCTAGGCAACATAGTAAGACCCTGACTCAAAACAAACAAACCAAAATCCCTGATTTTACAGGATTATGCCAATGGGCCCAGCATAGTCAAAACAACCCTTATAAGAGGGAGGCAGGAAGGCCAGGAGGAGATAGATATATCTCCAAGGTGGAATTGCTGGTCATATGGTAATTCTATGTATAGCTTTTTTTTTTTTTTTTTT